AATTATAATACTATTTCATAATTCAAAAGTAAACATCTAACTAAATTGCTGTGATGCTTTCTTCAGATTGGACTTCATCGTACAAAAAGTAAAAGAAAAACATTTAAAATTTGATGCTTTCTTATTTTAACAACGACTGCTTCGAGGTTGGTCTATTTTTTTGATGAATTAGGATAAATAGTACATCACACAGTCAACGACAGTTTTTTGTCAAATAATAAACATGTAACGTATTTCTTTGATTTTATAATGTTAAGAAAACTCTGAATAATTTTTTTGAAAGAAAAGTGTCCTTGCATTACTTTACTCATAGAGAAAGATGTTGAGCGAACATTTTAAAATCTATACATTATTTCTCTCAAAAAAGAAAGCGAAAAAAAAAGAATTATGAAACAGAACGACCTTGTGTTCGACAATGACAATTTTTTAATACAGAATTTCTTTTTTTTTCACGTATTCTCTTTAGTCTTTCAACATCAACAAATATAACTAGTAAATTGTTTTTCTTTGATTGTTTGAAATTAATCTTTTTTTTTCAGTAGCTACCTGTGAATCACTAAAGACAACTTTTGTAAACAAGCTAGCAATTATCGCTGTAAAGAGACGAATTTTGAATTCTTATTCTATTTCACTTTTGTGTCGAATTTGTCAACTTTCATTTCATCATTAGTTATATATGAGTGAGTAAATATATGTATAAATCGAATCAAAGAAATTAAAACGCAATGGGTACACAGTTATCAAAAAAAAATTCACCTCGACTACCACACATGAAATATAATTTAAATCATTTTGCTGTTATTACAGCTTTTTTTAATCCAATTAAATATAAATCACGTTATAATTTATATCATAAATTTAATAAACATATGTCATGTTGTGGCATTAATTTATTTACTGTTGAATGTATATTCGATACAGATGCAGCATTAGGTTTACCCCAACAAAAATTTGAAGTAACACGGGCAAATGAGCCTCGACATTTGCAAATCATAGCTCCTTCAGTTATATGGTTAAAAGAAAATTTAATTAATATTGCTGTTAAACATTTACCTTCGTACGTTGAATATGTTGCATGGCTTGATTCTGATATAGAATTTCAAGTTTGTTTATATTGTATTTTTCTCAAAGAATTTTTTGTATTTTGTCATTCTATTTGTTTATTATAGCGTTATGATTGGCCTTATTTAACTATTGATCAATTACAACGGTATCCAATCGTACAATTATTTCAAATGTCTTTCTTCTTAGGACCATCAGGAAAAAAGGAAGTTTTACGTCGTGATTATTCATTTGTTTATTCAATTACACATGGAAAAACCATTAGTTCTCATCGTGCATTAGACTGTTATTTTCATCCTGGTTATGCCTGGGCAATGCGCCGTGAAACTTTTGATGATATTGGTGGTCTTCTGGATTTTTCTATTCTTGGTTCAGGTGATATTCATTTTGCTTTTGCATTAATAAATCGTATTGATAAAACCATTCCATCTGGAATACATGATGATTATCGACGTTTAGCTAATGCATGGGGAGAACGAGTTGCTCAAAAAGCTGGCAATGGTATTCATATATCATATACTCCAGTTAATATATGGCACCATTGGCATGGCAGCCGTCGCGATCGAAGATATAATGAACGATGGTATGATGAAACATGATGAAGTTCTTTTTTAGTTTTGATACTAAGAAATGAGAATCAAAATACTTACTTAGGTGATTATCTTGTCGGTATTCGTCTAGCAGATGTGTACTGTTTCGTGTGGTGACATTAAAGATGATGTTATCTTTTACAGAAAAAAGTGTTTCACCTTCTTATATTATGTAATATCAGAGAAGATGGAACACCAACTTTAATGTTTCTACATATTCACAGTGAAACTCCTACTAAACAACTAGATGGTATTCGAGTTTCGACTCGAATACGAAATGCGGTGCGAAGCACACGTGCGGAGAATTCGAAAAACGAATTTCGAATAGAAATCGAATAATCTCTCTGAATATCATCACAATTTGTTCTCACATTCCACGTCAAGGTTCCGAGATAATTGAAGATTTTTCTGAGTTAGATACAATCGATGAAAAAAAACATTTTTATCGAACAGCTGATCTAACGTAGATCGGACCTGAAAGGCATCCATTATGAGATTGATCACTAGAGGAACTCTACTAAAGCGTATCGACAGACTTCTAAAAACTGTTGTTTATTGATCGATTAATTATCTCAATGATTCATTATCTACTATCAGCTGTATTTACAGCTGTTTGACATATGAGAAAAGTAAATGGCGCCTAACTTTGTTTTATTTTTTCAATTTTAATTATCTCAAAGCGAAAAGCAAATAAATAGTTTCATATTTGTCATTTTTGGAAACCGATTATGAGGAAATTAAGCATTTTCAGAACAATATCAATACAAAAGCTACGAGTTCGATCTCGATACTTTGGCTTTGCGTTTAAACGACTGTTTTGTGAGTTTCCATTTTCGAGATCATTGCGTGACAAAATGACAAGTTTGATGCGTACGTATAGTAAAAAAGAAAGAAAAAAAAAAAAAAAACTCGCGCACGACTACATAAATGCTGTGCTTCGCACCGCATTAAATACTTATCTTATGTCAATATACACAGAGAGATATAAATTCAATTTTTTCTAGCAATAGAAAATGTTTGCAGATTAAAGTATTGAAAAAAAAACAGAAAAGGATAAGATGAATTTTCTATTAAAGGCCATGTTTAGTTTCTTTTAGTACAATTAAGTTGACGTTGAAAAAAAGAATATGAAAAACTGATGCAATTCGATTCATAGATCATAAAGAGCTGAAAACAAACAGCATGTCATTTCGATATGTTTTCTTTTCATGAATTTGTCAATCAGAAAATTTCTCTTAATTAATTTTAATATTCTTTCATTTCTAGGTCACTTCTTGAAAGATTTCAATTTTCTCCATTGACCGATCTAGAAAAGAATGATAGAACAGGTTTACTTCGTTTAACAGATACTTATCCTTATAATCAATCAAATTTAGTTCAACGTTTAAAATTACTTGAAACAAATATTATAAATTATTTTCGATTACGTGATGAAGATAATATGAAAAAACCTATACCAACATTAAATACAAATGTACTATCAAATGCACCATCACCTACATCAAATCAATTTTTTCGTCCAATTATGAATGCATCAATGCATTCTGACGCATCTTCAATAGAAGATAATCGAAGATCCCAGGATTTTGTACCTCGAGATTATTTATCTGGATATCAATCTCATGATAGTACTATTCATGAAATTGTCCTTTAAATATAAAAATTTTTAAATTACTATTCTTGTCTATAACAAAAAAAAAACTATTGTTTAGTTGTTGGGTTATTGTATTGACTTAATATTAAATAATCGCAAAACTTGACATTGGTAGTTTTATGTTAGGATGAAGAAACCATCATACATTTAATTATATAGTATTTTCATTTATTTTTAAGTAATTTGAATCAATAAAATGCGATAGAAAATAATGAAACTAACTTTAATCTCAGCGACATTTTGATAAACATATGTTGTAACCAGATATTCAAAATCTATTTCAATTATTGTAGCAAAAGAAAATAGTTAAAAAATTTGAAAAAAATTTATGAAATCGTATTTTTCAACATCATCAACATGCTAAACCGTCCTTAAAAGACAAGGACGGTTTTTAATGACGATGAAAAGTAATAGAGATTCTAGACACGCTGTATGGTCATAATATAATTACAATAAAAATAAATTTTTTTCTTAGAAAGATACAGACTATCTTGTAGAAGAGACATTCGGGCATCGCAGCATCAATGTATCGCTTTTCTTAATTTATGTGAGAAATTTTTGTTCTCACAAATAATTCTATTTATTTATTTCGAATATCACTAAGAGATACTTGAGTAGAATATTCGAAATTTTTTTAAACATTCGCGCAGTGTTCAGAATTGAAGTGAAGTCAGTAACTCTGCCACAAACAGAACGAAACTTTTGACGATTGAGCGATCGTGTGTTCGTGATCTCGTCCTACCACTGAATAGTCCTTAGAAGAATTCAAAGTGACCAAGAATTTGTCAATATAATACTTCAAATAGTTTTTTTCATTATTCATCAGGTGATAGAATATTTGATTTCGTTATGACCGAATGTTCTTTTGAAAGAACATTTTTTTAATAATGTCGCAAAGTAAAATTAAATATTAATATGGATTCACGAAACAACTTCAAACGATGTTCAAATAATAATAGGACCTTCAATGACTGAAGCAGCAGTTGCTTCCATGTCTTTATAATCAACTATACCTAAAACTGTTCGTGACAAATTTTTCAAAGATGTCCTATAAGATAAAGAAAGGAAGAGATGGTTAGCTGAATGTTTATCATGTGAGACACCGAAATGATTTTTTGATGCCTTGGATGTTACTTTAGATTTTCATTCAACTTCCTCAAGAACATCATAGATAAGCTTTCAAGCTATGGTGATTACATAAATTAAATGAATTAAAAACTGTCTTTAGTGAATCACAAAAAATAAAATAACAGAACATTTTCGAAAAGCAAGTCATGCTTTACAACTTTCACCATATCATAAAACTCATTCTTCTTTGAAATAGGATAAAAGCGACATTTTCTAATTGTTTCATGAATAAAAGAAAATTTGATGAGAACTGGCTTGGATTTTCATTTGACTTGAATTATTTTTAATTAGTTATAATTTGACTTGAGTAGAAAAATAGCTGACTTGCCCTTCACTGACATAAATTTTTTGAACAAAACTTTGGAATATAATCAATAAACTATGGACGAATAAAAACATGTATGGAGGCACATATAATTGTCTCATGGTAACCATAAAATATAAAACAACGATCGAAACGATCAGCTGGGAGACAGCAGACGGTGAGCTCAGAAAAAAAGAACAACATATGTACCGTCAATATTTTTAATAATTTAATCCAAAATTTGTGTCAGATAAAAAAAATAATGTTTCAAACAACAAATGTAACCTCTTCTGCGGTCCCAAATGCTGCTGTCGTTCATCCTAGTTTTCAAATAATGAATACATCAAATAATCATCATACACATGTACCATCTTCTACTACGACAAATCCTTCATGGCGTTTAACAACACCACCACCATCAGTTGTTTCAATATTAAATGGAAATTCTTCAACATTTTATATAGCAACACAATCGTCAACAACAACGAGTAATATTATTCGTCAATCTACACAGACAGTACGTCATATAACACCATCATTTACAATAATCAATAATAGTAATACAACAATAAGTGGACAAATGCCAATAATATCATCTTCAAATATTAATTTACCATCGGACACTTGTGTTGATACATCTATTCTTGGACGATTGACAACATCAACAGTTCAACGGCAACAAACACCTTGTGAAAATTTTGAAGAACAGGTGGAAAAAAATGAAGACATTTTCAAGAATTATCTTTATCAAAAAAAAAAAAATAAAATAAAACTTTGTCTTTCTTTTTCTTTTAGACCTCTTCACTAGGGAATGATATAGATATAGAACGTACTCAACAAGATTCTGAAATTGAATTATTTGTAAATAATATTGTATGTTCATTTGCACTTGGTTGTAAATTGAATCTACGTAAAATTGCGACGGAAGCTGCAAATGTTATTTATAAACGTGATCATGCGGCAAGTTTGATTTATTAAAAAAATGTATAAAACTAAAACTAAAAATTGTTTCTTTTCTTTATTCTTTCATATAGATGGTATTGATAAAGATACGAAATCCATATTGTTCAGCCAACGTCTGGGCATCGGGCAAAGTGATAGTAACAGGAACAACGAGGTGTGTGTATAAAAAAATTTTAATATAGTTGTATCACATATAAAGTGTATGCTGCTACGTATTCCAGTGAGGATGATGCCCAACGTGCAGCACGACGTATTGCTCGATGTTTACAACGGCTTGGATATAAAACCAAATTTCGAAATTATCGAATTGTCAATTGCCTTGCAACATGTACAATGCCATGGCCAATTGATATTATTAAATTAAGTCGAATGTATCCAGAATGTGTCAGGTAAAGAAAAATTTTACAAAAGAAAAAAAAAAACAAAATATTTGTTTTTTTTTTTTATTGTATTGAATTTATTTAGTTATGAACCCGAAATTCATCCGGGTGCTACAGTCAGATTAAACAATAAAGTTGTTCTCAAAGTTTTTACGACTGGTAGTGTTACATTGACAGGTAATATGAAGATATATCTCGTAGAAAAACAAATAACCTTACTATTAACGATTATTTTATTTTCAATGACCTACTTTTAATTTTTGTGTTCGAAATATTTAAACAATTGTTTTAGATTCTGATGATGATCTCATTCTCTACGAAGTTATGGGTTTTGTTTTTTTTTTAATGTCACTGTCAATTTCGTGAGATTAAGGCCTATTCAGTTGTCAAATTGCAATTTCCTTTTTTTTTATCAAGATAAAAAAGAGATTTGCATGATTATGTGTTTATCAAGAGCGGTGTTAAAAATAAAGTATTGCATATGAAAACATAGAGAATGGTTTGCTCTATGTGTGGACGGTTTTGCTATAGTTTCAAGTGTTTTTGTTCACAAGAAACGAAATTGAAAGCGAATACTTTTTCCTACTATAAATTCATCGCAAATAACAATTCAGATAGATTAAAAAGAAATTTTCTTTTGTTGTTTCGACATTTTGTTTACCCAACTATTTGTTTCAAACCGCTAAACATTACATTCAAAGATGAAGAAGTTTATATAGAATATCTTTTCATTTTTCTTTTTAGTTTTCACATCTTTATAATTGACCAGAATAACTATCTAATGATATTAGATTTAAAATTTTGAAACACTTGTTAAATATCTCTAAAGTTAACAGCAAAAATGGTCTATTTATTATGAGTCATCTATTATATGTCAGATTGCAGCTTACGCCCATTTTTAACCTTCTATATCGTGTAAATGAGAGAGATCAGTAAATGTCAGGCAGCTAACAATCTAGTTTATAGACATCTTTTTCATCTATCTTATATTCGTTTGATCTTCTTATCAGTCTTCATTATAAGATGTCATCAAACGAAACAGAATTGAACACACAATGTAATTTAACAGAGTATTATGACGTGATATTTTGCTTCTTTTTTAATAATAGTAGAAGACTAAAAGATGAGAATAAATGTAAGAAGTTAAATCAATCGATCGTCACCTGAAATATTGCTAAATTTCTTCAGGTCAGAATATCAGTTTTCAATATAAAATTAATCGATCAAGAACTGTCGTGATGCTGTGTTCGTATTAGTCATCGAGTTTATAAAACGATTGTTTTCATATAGAAACATGCAATATATTTCTATATAAATGATTGGCCATCTCAAGTTTTTATAAGTAACCGAATGCTTTCAACAAGAAAAGAAACCTTCAGTTATATTAGAAGGAATATAAATTTATTAAATTATTATGTTGTTTTCACACTTTGAAAACTTTCGAAGAATGTCAATATAATTTCTTGACAGTAAATATTAAAAAAAAAATTATTTTTCATTACTTAATATTTTTATCTTTTATCGTGAGTTTCTTATCAACTTAATGACTAATCTCAGAACGATGACGAAGGTCTCCGGAAACAAGCAAATTTAATTGGAACTGGTCGGAAGCATGAGAGAAAGTTGCAGTATCCGATCGGAAATCAATGGAACTCGAAAGCAGTAATCCAAATCAGAAAGTCTGTGAATTATCTCCGCAACTTCTGTTCATTTCCACCGGAAACGATAGGGAAATTGACTGGAAGTCACTGGAAAAAATACGCAGACTTTTTGACACGAACTACTGCTTCCAAGTACTCTCGATTCTCTGTCAGCGATAACGTAGACATCAGATAAAAAAATGCAAGTGATCTTTGACAGAATTGAAACACTAACTTACACCCTTCACTAGCGACCAGTTTTTTAGCTAAAGAAACTTTGTTCAACTATTGAATCCATTGGAAAACTCTATGGCAAACAAGAGTTGGACTATAACGCATATATAGTCCGATACTACAACTTCTGCTCTATCGATTTATAAGAAAAATTTTTATTCTGAAAAATAGTTCTTAGTTTTTCAAAAAGAAACATCTTCAATAGAGTTGATCGTCACTTTTTTCAACTAAGTCAATGTGAACGAAACTTTGAGTGAATGTTCTTCTATATCTAAGAAATACACTCAGTTAGCACAAAGAGTTCTGTACTGAGACCTAGGTTTACTAAAAAACGTGTTTTTTACGATTTTTCGTGGTTTTTTTTGTTACAGAAGCACTCTAAGAGAAAAATAAACACATATTTGGAATCACTGTAAAAAATTGCATCGACTAATATACCATTTGTGAATTATTTAAATAAAAAGTTTTCATAATAGTTTCGGGTAAAGATCTCCACAGAGATTTTCCATCGTATATCGTCTTTCGTTTCAAATTTTACTGCTTTTCATCAATCTTATATTTACTATTTCTATGAAAAAAATTCACTCGACAGACAATAAGTCATATCTATATGCTTGATAAAAATAGCCTACTATGGAACAGATACACGTCCCGCGATCTCTATTCAAGAATAATAGCTAGATATAACTTGATTATTTTACTCGTATTTTAGGAACAGCTATCAGGTTTCAATTAGAAAATTCCATGAAGAATTTAAAATATACGGTTGGGGTCCGGGATCAAAATTTTTTGAGCCCGACAGCTTCTAATCGTCGTCAGAGTTCATTGAACCTAATATATGTAAAAGGAATTGAAATTTCGTTTTGTAGTCTTAAATTATATTGTGATAAAGTCTAATTTATTTTTTTGTTATAATTTTATTTATCGTAGCGCCGTCCGTCGACCTTATCAATACGGCAGTAAATGAATTTTATCCAAAATTATATGAATGTCGAAAAGTAAGCCAAATCAATGAACAACTCCATTAAATACAATAATTCAGCTTGCTTGTTTTTCTTCTCTCGAGATAACCAACTCGTTTTTCTTTTCCTCTGACTGTTTATATGAATATCATTCGAAAACCTTTTTTCTGTCTCTCTCTCTCCACTGGTTTTCTCAATATCTTTTTGCTCATCTATCAAAATAAAGTCACATAAGTTCTTTTTTTTCTTTATTGTTATTCAATTTTGTGTGTATGTGTATATCTCTTTTTCTCTCTACAGATTGTATTTATATATTTATATATGTATAAGTAAAGAGAACGAAAATTGATGTTGATGAATAGAGCCAAAGCGAAGAAATTTCCTCATATATATCTTCTAACTCCAATTATATCATATGTTTCGATGTGAATTTTCTTGTTTTGTGTGTATGCCACATTCTAATAGCCACTATATAAGTTGACGCAATGCATATTAACAAAAAAAAAACAAAATATATAAAGTTTGATATTTTTTTTCTCTCCTTTTCTTGTTAGGCCATGTCTATCATTTTCTTTTTTTGTTTTAAATCTATATCTATATCTATTTGTTTTGGTTTTGTTTTCTTTTGTGTATGCGCATTATTTGAATTTGTTGGTATACAAATGCAAAAGAAAAACAAATGTAAAGTTGAACAAGCAGACAATAACGAAAATGATTTGAAGTTATATTTACATGCGTGTAATAGTCTTCATTTTGTTTTTCGTTCTTTAGATAACAATGTTTTTAAGAAAATGTTTTGGACTTTCTATAATAGGAAAACAATTTGGAACATGTTTATATCGACGATTAAGTATGACACCATTATCGAGTATGAATATTAAAATTTTAAAGGAAACCTTATAATTTTCTATTTTCTCTTAGCCAGTATATCTTCTTCAATTGAATATCAACCTATTAGAATTCGTATACCTTTACCTCAACAATTACCATCCAAACAAACAGTTCCGATGCCTGCTACACTTCCAGCGTCGATAACAACAACAAATACAATATCTATATTAGATAAATGTTCTTTACATGATGATCTTCTTTATTATGATTGTCCATCGATAACAAATGAAAAAATTCAATGTGCTTGGACATCAACAAATTATCGTTATAAACGTCAAAGACGTGTACGTAATCATCCGAGTCGTTTAACAAATACTGTTGCATATCGTTCACGTCGTATGCGTTTACATCATAAAAAGAAATGGTTAAAAAAGTTTAAATATGATTTACTTAAAAAATTACGTGAAAAAATAAAACGTCGAGGTAAATTATATGATATGGAAAATTCAATTATACTTGGTAAAGCTGAACAATTCAATGCTGAACATTATGTCAAACGTGAATTAGAAAAAGCAAGATTTTATGGTTATCGTGTATCACCTATTTATGATCAAATACGAGATCAGATAAACCATCTTAAAATAGAATAGATAAACTGATCTTTTTTTTCTTTGTTCTTACATTGTTAAAGATTTTTTTTTTTGTCTGTTTTTTTTGTTATTTCATTGATTTAAAGATTAGAAAGAACAACAAAAAGTTTTTAAATGATGTTTGTAAGCAAAAGAAAGGTGTTCGCTTATATGTCACAGTTCAAGTCATTAATGAGAATAACGACAAGAGCGTAATGTAAGAAAGCAAAAAAAAAAAACTGCTTTATACTTTTCAATAATGTTTTACATTGAAGTATATAGGTGATTCGTCACGCACTGATGCACAACAATATCTTTTTTTCTTCTTCTTGTTCTTCTTCTTTCTTCTCATCCTATTCATCTAACTACACATCCAAGTTCATATCAATATACTAAAAATAGAAAATAATGATAACAAGAACAAATCCTCAGTCATTCTATTCATCAGAACATAACAATGATGAACAACTATTTGCTAACGAACAAATACAACGTTATGACGCAGATACAATAAAAAATCGTTATGGTGATAATTGGAGAAATTATGCATCAAATGTACGTGAAATAAAACAAGCAGACGGATCGATTGTGCGAGGTAAATACATACGTCGTTTTTTCCTTTTATTTATTCATATGATAAAATGACGCAAATAACATGTTGTTTTTTTTTTTTTTGTTTGTTTTTCTTCAGAATATATTATTGACGATCCAAATTTACTTCAAGAAATAAAACCATCATTAAATCCAACATCAACAACAGGTTCAGACGGCGAACAACAATTATCAAAAAATAAATTTGCTCAAATAAAAGCTAAATTTGAAGGAAAATCTTCAACAACTATTATGGCCTCACCATCATCATCATCATCTTTAGCTAGTAGTAATACAACAACAACACGTCAAATTTCTGATCAACAAGCAAATGATTTTTATATAAGAAATCGACAAGTATCAAATGATTCATCAACAATTAATCGAACTAATATTGAATTTCCTATTGGATCTCGAATATCTTCAAATGCAAGTCAAAATACTACAAATAGTCAACATTCACATTCAACATCAAATTCATCGGTTCGACGTTTGAATTCAGTTGATGACGCTGATGAAGAAGTTCAACGTATACATCGACAAGGTCAAGAATATCGTCATCATCAAGAAACATTAACACCAATATCATCAATACCTGAAATTAAACAACAAATGAATCCTCAATATGAAATTATTGATGAAGATGGAAATCCAATATCAATTGATGGTGTTGGTGATTTAATTAAAATGTCAGGTGTTACAGCACGAGAAGTTCAACAACCTGATGGTACATTTGTTCGGGAGTATGTTATTGATGATCCAGAAGTATTATCGAAAATTCGTTCACAACAATCACCAATGATTTCTCAACAACAAATATCACGTGAAAATATTCCACCACCACCGCCACCACCACCACCACGTATGCCAGTAAAACAACAGCCAATGGTATTTCATCATCAAGGTTCATCAATACATGATCAACAGCCATCTATAAATATTGAACATATACGTGTACTTGAACCACAACGTCGTTATCAATATATAACAGCATCTGGTAAACGTATTGAATTTATGATTACAAATTTAGGACCAGATAATCAAACAATTAATGATTCGGATATTCGCGAATTATCTAATGCAATTCATACGCGTCTTATACCACCATCATCAGCACCGTTAATTTCAAATACAACACAACAACCATTTACTTTACCTAAACAATGGCATCCAGCTGTTGATTTAACACATCGTGAGGGACAACTACGACAACGAACTGGTTCAGATAGTCAACCAATGCCAAATAATTATAATATGAATTTTCAACATGTACAACCTATGCAAATGGATTTACCTCGTTCAACATCTTATGGTGCAGTTGATCAAGGAGCCTATCAACAACAATTTGCACCGATTTTTACAGAACCAATTATTGATTGGAGTGCACTTCGCCAACAAGATCCACATGGTCAAATTGATCCTCAACTTATACAACAATTTATTGCACAAAAACATCAAAATGAAGGTTTTCAAACATCAGCTCAATTTTTACCTGAGCAAAGGCAACAACAGCAACAACAACGCCAACAACCTCTACATCAACAACCAATGACGAGATCAATGCAGTCACCATCAACATATAACGCACCACCATACTATCAACAACAAGTGTCTTACCCTTATCAAGGACAACAACAACAAGTGTCTTATCCCTATCAAGGACAACAACAACATGGTGTTAGAATTATTAATAATACTAATAATGATATAAATTATAATCAACAACAACAGCAACAACAACAACCGACTATGGTTGCTTACGACCATACTAGAATTTAATTTCATTATTAAATACACATTTCTATTTTTTAGAATGAATATGTCTTTTGTTGTAAAGATAACATTAAGATTTGTTTTTTTCATTTATACATGCGAACGTCTTTAATAAGTCTTCTTGTTGCTTGTCTATTTCATGTACTTTATTGCAGGTTTTTTTTCTCTTTCTCATATGCTCTTAAAAAAGAATACAATTATCTTGTTTAATTCGTATTTCATTTAACTATGTGTAATGTCTGTTGTTCATGACAAAATAAATATGGACTATAATCAAGTAATGCATTATAGCGAAGTAAAGACATGTGAAAGTTCATTATATGTTACATGTTGTGAAAAATTAAACTGAAGAAAGAAAACAAAACCATTAACAAAAGAATCTTTTCATGAAAAACTTAAATAATTAAAAAGTAAAAGATCATCTTATAAGATTTTCATAATACTTCTCTTTGGAACAAGTGTTAAAGAATTACGGAAATAATTATTTTCAAATATCATTGATTGTTACACAAAAAAAAATGCCGTGTAGAATCTGAATTATTTGATTCAATGAAAAGGAATGAAATTTTTAACTAAAACAACCTATATTTTACTTATATGTAAAGAATAAGCAAGGAATTTCATCTTATTTTACAAAAAGCGTTATTGATGTTATATATGAAATAATGAATCATTTTGATTATATTGATATAAAAATGTTCTATATGTCTTACACTTCAGTCTTCTTATGAAAAATGATTATAATATAAAAGTTTCTCGCTTTTTATATTATCAAAAGTGACAATGGAAATATATCAGCACATTATTTTTTCTATTGAAAAAAAAAAACTTTGTAGAAACATTGATTAATCGATGTTTCTTCTCATTTATATATTCTAGTGATGCTGTTTGAGAATATAGTAGATCTATAGATCATTTCAATATAGAAAGTGATGAACGTATCTTTTCTTGAACATATTTTTACACAGTTCAATATCACTCATTTGACCTACTAAGATATATTATATTCCTAATAGTGTTTTTGACAAGACAAATCATCCGGTTCACAAATAAGTAATGAATCACATTCACAATACATTTGTTGATCGTCTGATAGTCAAACGAGTTTACACAATCTGCTGTTCATTGATTATATAAAAATATTCTCGAATTAGTAGTATTATTTTGTATAGAAATTCACTTTCCATTTATTATTTGAACTAAAAGAAATGAGAGAATGACTAGCAAAGTGAATGTAGGATGAAAATCAGGGCAAAACTAAGGTGAGAGTAGGTTAATGTCAGTGTCTTCGCTATTTTGTAATCTCTATCACATCCACTCTCACTGCGCATTTCTCTTCGTCTAACAGAAAAATAACCTTCAAACAAGAAAAAAGACTAATTAGAATATATATATATATATATCTGTTATTTTTCTTTTACGTAATCAATGGACAGTAAGTCTGTTGACAGGACATCATGCACTCAAGTGAATATAGTATTCGAAGAGAATTAATGTGTTGTTAAGGATGATTTCTCTTTTTTCATCTTCTTTCTCTTTTCTTTTCTCTTGCACAAAAGCTGTTTGCCACTACCAAGTGGCATCGCTTGGTGTCTTTCATTTTGTTTTCTTTTTGATGTTTTCTTTTCCACCATTATCTTTAACGTAAGTAATCAATTCTACGGTACAAAGAATAAATTTATTCATGTTAAACGTCTCAATAGAATAGCAAACTAGTAAAACATAAGATATATTAACAATAAAATAATCTCATAGGTAATCTAACGATTTGACTTGCATGTAGCAACTTTTATTTTGCTTGCAATAGAAATCCAGTAATGGATGTTAACTATCAACATCAAACACAATAATCTTCAAGTATTATGTACACAAAATTTTCTATTAACAAAGAAACATGTATTTCAACAGAGAAAAAAAGAATATAAGACTACAATATACTACTAATCACTAAAATAGTACATTAATTTTAGTGGAATAATTTGATTTATAATTTTTGTACGCTGTTTTCCGTTATAGGAAATAATGACGTCATTGCTTTGTTTTTTTTTATAATATTTTCTTGACTTTTTTGAAACATATCTTTCTTTTTAATAAACATTTAGTGTACATAACGTGTGAAGATTATTTTACTTTATGTATGTAGTTTACATCGATTGTTGAGTTTCTCTTCTCCATAAAGTAGAACTTGCCATATACAAGTCACACTATAATATTACTCATGAGATTATTTTATTGAAAATATGTCAGGTGTTTCTCTTGTTCGCTATCTTGTCGAGATATGTGCACGAATGGATTTGTTCTTTGTACTGTAGAATTTATTATTTATGTTGAAGAGAAAGACGGAAAAAAAACATCAAACAAAACAGAAAATGAAAGAGATAAAATGTTGTGACTTGATAGTGATGAGCGACTACTGTGTATGAGAAGAGAAGATGAAAAGAGCGAAGTCATCTTCAACAGTAATAGATTAACTCTCACTATGCAATATTTTTGCAGCCGAGTGACTCACAAAAGATTTTTCAAAATGATTCATTCTGTAGGAGTCAAAGACACAATAAATGCTAGAAAGTAAGGCAAAATTCTTATAAGAAAAAAAAAATGATATATCAAGCAAAGTATTTTTATATTTGAGTATAATTATAATTAAAGAGTGAAGA